TCAATTAAGGAGGATTTTTTTTAATTTTCTTTATCTACAACTCAGAGCACTGAGGATGCCATTTCATTAGGCTGAGGATAACCTTATGGGGGTAATGTAGTAATAGGAATATTGTGTTATTCACAGCTATCATTAGTAGTACTACAGCCACCAATTTTATGGACCTGGCTTGTGTACAAGTACTAGAGCTGCTATTTAACCATTAAGAAGCAGTAATTTGCGATGTGACACAGTCACGGAAATATTGCTTGGGACCAAAATAAATATTTGTGCTTGATAGGCAGGGCAACAAATGAATTGTATTTTATATATATATATACACACACATACATAACATACAGAAATATATATATAGCTGGGCTGGCCACTAAAAAGCTTTCGATAACATACTCAGGAGCTAGTGTAAATTGTCTGTCAACAACTGTCTTTAAAAAACATCTACATCTGTCATTGCAAATCTAGCCTCCCTATAACTCTACTAGCAAATGCTCACGACTCATTTTTCATGTTAAAAAAATCTGTGCACTCAAAAATTATTACTCTCAGTCACAAGCCACATGCACATTTCGTAACTTTACTAAAGCTTTCAAATTTATAGAAGTGTCTTTTTCATAAGACATTTCATATTCATCTATGCAAATCATATATTTCTTGATATGCCTATGTTTACCATAATATGAATGTGAAATCAAGAACTGGTATTTTTCTCCACAGCTTAGTTAAATTCCATTTAAAATCAAAACCACCAGTTTCATCCTTAATGCATCAGTTTCATGAATATTCAACAGATTTAAGAATTTTTTTTTTTCACTTTTTAACATAAACATTCAGGATCATAAAACGTGAAAACCTGGCAGCCCATTAGAGCCCCAGGCCCTAGGGACAAGAGAAGAAGCTGGTGGAGAGGAAGACTTGCCCTGGGTAGAGGAAGATTGGGTCAGAGAGCACCTAAGGAACCTCGATACCCACAAACCCATGGGCCCTGATGGGATGCACCCCAGAGTGCTGCGGGAGCTGGCAGAGGTCATAGCTAAGCCGCTCTCCATCATCTTTGAAAGATCCTGGAGAACGGGGGAGGTGCCGGAAGACTGGAAGAAGGCCAATGTCACGCCAGTCTTCAAAAAAGGCAAGAAGGAGGACCCAGGCAACTACAGGCCAGTCAGCCTCACCTCCGTCCCCGGAAAAGTGATGGAACGGCTCATGCTGGCCGTTGTCTCCAAGCACATGGAGGACAAGAAGGTGCTCAAGAGTAGTCAGCATGGATTCACCAAGGGGAAATCTTGCTTGACTAACCTGATAGCCTTCTATGATGAAATGACCGGCTGGATAGACGAGGGGAGAGCGGTGGATGTCGTCTATCTCGACTTCACCAAGGCTTTTGACACCGTCCCTCACAACATCCTCCTGGGCAAGCTCCGGAAGTGTGGGATAGATGAGTGCACAGTGAGATGGATTAGGAACTGGCTGGATGGCAGGGCCCAGAGAGTGGTGATCAGCGGTGCAGAGTCTAGTTGGAGGCCTGTGGCTAGTGGGGTCCCCCAGGGGTCAGTCCTTGGTCCAGTCCTGTTCAATTTATTCATCAATGACCTGGATGAAGGCACAGAGTGCTCCCTCAGCAAGTTTGCTGATGATAACGAAACTGGGAGGAGTAGCTGATACCCCAGAGGGCTGCACTGCCATCCAGAGGGACCTGGACAGACTGGACAACTGGGCGATGAAAAACCTCATGCAATTCAACAAGGCCAAGTGCAAGGTCCTGCACCTGGGGAGGAATAACCCCAGACACCAGTACAGGCTGGGGACCGACCTTCTGGAGAGCAGCTCTGCAGAGAAAGACCTGCGTGTCATGGTGGATGATAAGTTGACCATGAGGCAGCAGTGTGCCCTCGTGGCCAAGAAGGCCAATGGAATCCTGGGCTGCATTAAGAGCATCTCTAGCAGGTCGAGGGAGGGGACCCTGCCCCTCTACTCAGCCCTGGTGAGGCCGCATCTGGAGTACTGTGTCCAGTTCTGGGCTCCACAGTACAAGAGGGATGTGGAGCTGCTGGAGAGAGTCCAGCGCAGGGCCACAAGAATGATCAGGGGCCTGGAACATCTGCCCTATGAGGAGAGGCTGAGGGAGCTGGGCCTGTTCAGCCTGGAGAAGAGAAGGCTGAGAGGAGGAACTTAAGGAAAAATTTCTTGACAGTGAGGGTGACAGAGCACTGGAACAGGCTGCCCAGAGAGGTTGTGGAGTCTCCTTCTCTGGAGATCTTCAAAACCCGCTTGGATGCCACCCTGTGCCACGTGCTGTAGGTGACCCTGCGTATGCAGGGGGGTTGGACTAGATGATCTCTAGAGGTCCCTTCCAACCCTAAGCATTCTATGGATCTATGATTCTATGAAACCGTCATTCATCTTTTCTGACTGCAGACACTTAACTTTTCTAAACAAAGCACATGAGACCAATAGTGAACGCCTGCCCCACATTTTATGCACTTCTTTACCACGTTATATTTCTTCACCATTATTAGATGTACATATTTAAGTGTTGTAAATTGCTACCATGAGAAGAGTAGTATTTTAACACACACAGTGTTAACACGTGGAAAACCAAGAGCAAAATTACCATTCTTGTAGATGCAGGAAGCCGAACAACTTGATATGGCTTTTTCAGGTTGCCGATTTTCTAGTATTTTTAATGAGTAAGCAAAGAAAGCGCAGTACAGGAAGACTAGAAATACCAAATAAAGAGGGTTTTGTCTCTAGCCAAAAGTTTTACACAAGCTCTGGCGTTGCTGGCAAATCCAACAGGAAAGTGAAACTACCGATGAACATATTTATTCCAAACGGAATCCACTGCGAGCAAAAGCTTTTATCTATGATCAGTAGTTAGGGGTTTTTGCAGCCAGACTTTTTAAAAAATGTTTTCGTTAACATTTCTAGAGACATTACAATAAAAAGTTATAAGAAACTTTCATTCAAATAAAGCAAGCTGAAACACTTAATGGGACAAACACAAAGAAAGCTCTAGGAAACTGGCATCAAAATGGAAAAAAAAAGTATATATTTAACATATCAAATCAATGTCAGGCTTAGTTAAAGCAAAACTTGTCACTAAAAACAGTCTTGAAGAATTAGAAAATATCTGCCTGCTACTTATCAATCAGCAAAATTACCGTTCTTGTAGATGCAGGAAGCCGAACAACTTGATATGGCTTTTTCAGGTTGCCGATTTTCTAGTATTTTTAATGAGTAAGCAAAGAAAGCGCAGTACAGGAAGACTAGAAATACCAAATAAAGAGGGTTTTGTCTCTAGCCAAAAGTTTTACACAAGCTCTGGCGTTGCTGGCAAATCCAACAGGAAAGTGAAACTACCGATGAACATATTTATTCCAAACGGAATCCACTGCGAGCAAAAGCTTTTATCTATGATCAGTATTACTTATAAGTTGCCTATTTTTTTTCACACCCAAAACTGGTACACACTGCTTGTTCCGTCTTCAGAACATACATGGCGCCACATTTGGTGCAGAGCTCATTTTTAGAAACGCTTGTGAGAAATGGAAGTCAGATTGCTGCAAAATGTTCTCTATTAGAATTTAATTTCAAAGACTCCATGCAAAGACTTTTGGAAAAAAAATACAAAGGCAAAACATGAAAGAACACAAGGGAAAAAAACATCTAACTGAAGTTTTTTACTGATTGCCAGTGTTAACCAAAGACTAACATATGGCAGATCTTTACATTTTAACCGCAGTTTCAAAGTTACCATTAAAGACTTTCAGAAGTTACAGTACGAATGTTGAATCAGAAACTGGAAATGGAAGATTAAATTCAATTTTGTAGAAGTTTCCTATTTTCTATGGTTGAGAACTTCCAAACAGTGAACTACTGGCACACAAGACAGAATATTCACCTGATGCTCAGAAAGCATATTAACAGACTGAATGAAAATTGTCTAGAAAATTATATATATATATATTATTATATATAAATTATAGCAGTAATATTGATTTTATGTTAGGGGTTTTTGCAGCCAGACTTTTGACAAAATGTTTTCGTTAACATTTCTAGAGACATTACAATAAAAAGTTATAAGAAACTTTCATTCAAATAAAGCAAGCTGAAACACTTAATGGGACAAACACAAAGAAAGCTCTAGGAAACTGGCATCAAAATGGAAAAAAAAAGTATATATTTAACATATCAAATCAATGTCAGGCTTAGTTAAAGCAAAACTTGTCACTAAAAACAGTCTTGAAGAATTAGAAAATATCTGCCTGCTACTTATCAATCATAGAAATAAATGAACGAACTCTTAAAACTTCTGAAGAGTAAAAGGTAACTAGTGCCCATAAGCATGAGAGAAGGCTGGCATTACCGGCCCGCTCCCTTCCCCTCAGCCCCGGTGAGGCCACGTCTGGAGCGGTGTCCCAGTATGAGGGCTGTGGGGCCACTGCAGCGAGCCCAGCGGTATGATGGAAGGGGGGGGTCACCTCTCCTACGGGGAGAGGCTGAGGGAGATCTTGGTATTCTTTACTGTAAGGGTAACAGACACTGAGAGAGGATGCCCAGGGAGGCTGGGGAGTCTCCTTCCCTGGAGCTGTTCGAAGGCCGGATGAACAAACTCCTGGGCAATGAAGCTCCAGGTGACCTTGCCTGAGCGAGGAGGGCTGCACTAGATGATCTCCAGGGATCCCTTCCAACTTTAACCCTTTTGGGATTGTGTTATTCTTACTCAAGATATACAACTTTAGTTGAAGGGATCATATTTCATGACTTAACTGAGTTGCTCAGAAAAACAGCAACAATAGACTCTTTTAAAAAAAACATTTAAAAAGTCTCTGCATTTTTACTTATTTTTCCCTTTTCTGAATCCATTGATATCAGTAAGACGGCACATAATGCACACGAATTCATACAAAACTGAAGTTTTAATGCATTTATTTATAGAAAACAGTAAAAAAAGGTTTCAGACAAATACTTAAATGTAACACAGAGTTGGTACAAACTATACAGAAAAACAATTAGATTGAAAGATAATTCTAGTGACTTGTGCTTGGACTGGAGGCAAGGGAGTTACTCCTTGCCAGTCCCAAATTAAACAGAATTGAATTAAGGTTTATACAGAGAAAGGCATGATCCGGGTGTGTTGTTCTCTGCAGTTCTTGGATCATTAGGTGAAGAGTAAACAATTCAAACATCTTCTTATTACTTCTGCAAAAGATTATACATAAAATAATTGTCATTTGATAACAGAGATGTTTCAACACTAAAGGTTCTAAAATATAAAACTAAACAGATACAGGAAATGCAGGGATGTAGGACAGATACATGAAATTAAGGTAAACTTAAAACACAACAAAAAATCTAGAATAGATATAACTTACATATCAGAATATTTCAAAGAAGCTTCACAATGAAGATTCAGCAAATGTCAGTATTGTGAGGTTTTCTTTAATAAATGCTAAGCTTTAAATAATTGGATATTCTGAACATGTTTCACTTTTATTTTTTTTCCAGTTGAAATTAGATTAGATCATTTTACTTGAAAACAAGTTTTTCCAGAGTTCACATTTTACTTTTAAGAAAGTCAAAGGAAAACCTCAGCTTTGCATTCATCTTCAACTCTAACACAAAAACACAGCTCGGTTTAAATACCCAATTTTATAAATGAAACAATCCTATAAAGTAATGCACCAGTGGTAATGCACCAGTGGTGCTCAACAGCACATTACATTGATATGAGAAAGATCTTTACTACAACAAATTAGTGAAGTAACTACAGTAACAGGAACATATCTAATACAGACTAGCATTTCCAGAAGACTGCAAAATAGCTAAAGATTCTACATTTTGTTTTTGAAAGAAATAAAAACTGATGAGACAGACTTAGGCCGAAGTCACATAAGAGACCAACTATTTAAGGTGGCTTTCTACAGAGTACCTGAGTATAATCAAAGGTGAGAGAGAAAGGAAAGGTTTCCCTTCTAAGCATTTTGGTAATCTTCATACATAAGGAACATTTGTTCTACAGATTAGTATTTTTCAGTATGTTTTCTGGAAGCTAGAACAGAGCTACTTACGAGCAAACTGAGAGACCTGTCCAGCACATCTGTGACAAGCCTTTTTTAAGTTAAACATTATCAGAGAAAGTCCAGCACTGTCCACTGTGTAACCAATTAACAGCAAAACAGAGACGAGTTTTTGAAAAAGGAGAAAGATCTCCAAGTTTCCTGATGTAACAATAATCAAGAGAATTCTGCAATTATCTGAATAATGATGAAAATAAAAATTACTTTATTCTGGAGAGCTTTTGCAGTATCACACAGAGCTTTTCCAAAATCTGAAGATCTAGCTTAGGTGTTCGAAGTAATACAGAACATGTACGGAAAAAGGATTCGTTACTGCAGGCTTCCAGGAAAGGCTGCAGGGAATCTGTAAAGGAAAAGAATCAGTTTTATCACAGAACTTGGTACAGGGAAAGGTAACACAGCTTTTCATAGCTTTAGAGCATTTCTAATGCCCTATATTGTGCAACTATTTGAACCATATAATAAGAGGGTTTGTACTGGGCACATGATGTTAAACTGGAAGTTAAAATAAACTTAAGTTCCTAAGAGATCTGACCCTTGTTGGTAATTATATTAACCAAACACTACTCCCTTGAGAACAAAAGAAAACTGGAAACAGCAATTAAGACTTGAATTATTATTCTCATCTTGAACATGTTTTTTCATTACACTTTTCACAGTTCTTTCCTCTTATCCTGTGAAAGGAACATCGAGTTGGGCAAAACAAGTATTTTAAGCTGTGGCACGACAGCATGGATAGGGACAGCCTGTGCAGATGAGCAGGACAGATGAACTTCTAAATGCTCTTAAGAAGCAAGCAAAACAATAATTGATAGGTAAAAATGTCGCAGCTGCGTAAGAACAGGGATATCAACAAAACTCCCCTAAAACACCATCCACTATTTTAATATTGCCATGCTGTGTAATCTTGCACTTTATCCAGTTCCCTGCAATTTACTCACATTACAATGCAGTACAAATACCTGTTCCCTTTCATTACCTTTTTGTTTATTCTTATTAATATAGATTGATTTATGGCAAAACCATAGAGAAAATACGTAACATCTGATACCTTTAATAAATGCAGTTATGTTTTTCATTTCACATAGAGCATTCATATTAGAAGAAAACAGATGTGAGGAAAATATTTTAATGTTTGCCTAATGTTAAACATGCTTTAAATATCACAAGTAATAAGAAACTAGAATGACTAAAGCTATAAACATGAACATAACAAAAACTCTTTGCACATACACTGAGCACTGTAATTTATAAATAGGATGTCAAGATGCTTTTATCAGTTCAGAAAATACTAGGTGTTTTTTTGGTTAAAATTTTTCCCTTTTCCTTCTCCAAGGACATAAAACTTATTAGCTGTAACAAGTAGCCTTGGAGTGAATTCAAGGTTTTAATTTATTTCCGGAAGCTTACTGATATAAAATCATGAAGAACAGCTTACATTACAGAATGCTGTTTGGAACAGGGCTTAAAAATATCAACTTGGCAATTACAAGGTCAGCCTGAGAGCTTAAACAATTTTTTCAGGCAAGGGATTTGTATTTAATATTCAACATTGACACAGTAACTCCTAGAACTTACTGTTAGGAAGATGATCTTTCAAAATACGCTTTTTGCAAAACAACAACATGTCATTGGGCTACACCAATAAATGGCCCAATGGATTAATATATACTGAAGATCCAGTGCTCTTTATTTGATGTTCTACATAACATTACTTCAAAGTTCTTAAAAAAAAAAAAAAACAGAAGTGAAAAATCTGAAAAAAATCATTAACCTATAATTCAGTTCTCTTTATGGTGACGCCACCTCACAGCAAGTCTAACTTGAAAATACCCATGAAAAGAGGCCACAAAACTATGAATGGATGTAGTTCGCAGATTTCCTAGAAATAAACAAATAGGTTTAATGAACACCTGCAGGAAAAAAAAAAAAAAAAAGGGCCTTCTTAGAGCAATTCATATCACTACATTTCTATTACTTGAGACTATTTGAAGTCAAAACTTTCAGAGATAGCAGCAAGCGATAACCTTCTGTTCAAGTACTACAAATTCTGTTATCATTCAGCAGCTAGAGCTCTGTGGAATTCTTCCACAGTTTGTGTGAGTCCCTGCAAATGACTGTATGCTGCCAAGAAAATGAAACGGTCTGGGGAAAATATACTGCTCCACTGATGAAGTAATAAAATCTATTTTAGCAACACAAATCCAAACGGTATCTCATCTACCAAAATATTATCATATTATCAGAAAGGTAAGAGCAAAAAAAGAATAAATGCTGGAGGGTGTCCAGAGAAGGGCAACAGAGCTGGTGAAAGGGCTGCCGCACAGGCCTTCTGAGGAACGGCTGAGGGAGCTGTAGTTATTTAGTCTGGAGGAGACCCTGGGAGACCTTATCACTCTCTACAACTACCTGAAAGGAGGTTGTAGCGAGGCAGGGGTCGATCTCTTCTCCAGAACAACTACCGATAGGACAAGAGGAAATGGCCTCAAGTTGTGCCAGAGAGGTTCACGTCAGACATTAGGAAGAATTTCTACATGGAGGGAGTAGTGAAGCCTTGGAACAGGCTGCCCAGCAAGTGGTGGAGTCACTGTCTCTGGCAGAGTTCAAGAAATGTGGAGATGAGACACTTAGTGATATGTTCAGCAGGCAGGGTGGTAAAGGGTTTTCGGTTGGACTCAATGCTCTTGAAGGTCTTTTTCAACCATAATGATCCTATGATTCTGTATAAGAATACTGACATTCAAGAAGCAAAATAAGAGAAAAGTTTTTTCCTACTGTCTGTTAAAACAAGAAATGGCCTTAGAAATTTCTTTGATTTAACCCAACTTCTGACTCAGCTGAATATGGACTAATGAGAGAGAGAGGAGAATGCTCCCCACAGCATTCTCCTGTGGTCAAAACCTAGGTCCTACAATTTGTTCCCATAAATATCCCTTAAATAGTCATAAGAAATCTTCAAATCCTTTCTACAAAGGGAAATGAATACTGCATTCAGCTGACTAGGACATTTTTTTTTCCTGAGTTATTCACAGTGGTCCCTTAAAAACATGTTATTTTAAAAGATATATGTATAGTATAAAAATTCTTTCACTGTTAGGTTTGCAAAACAACATATAGGATATACATTACTTTTTAAAACAGAGGAATTTTTACTACATAACAGATAAGTGGAAATAACTTGCTACATTTCACAAAGTCAATTATATGAAAACAAACTGATAAAGATGCACCCCTAAATGGACTTTTTTCTGGTACACTGTCTACAAATTCACTTAGGATAAGCTTTTGCAGGTCGTGCACCAGAAGGTGTGATACAAAACAAATGAATCAAAAAAACCTCCAAAAACAACATTACTTAAATGAATCTTCAATCTGCCCAACTAAAAGAAAGCAATAGCTTCACATTTTTAAAATATTTATTTTGGTCTTTTATACTTGCACAATTTTCTATTACATATTCTAGAAAAACTAAATCATCTATCTTGTCAGGACTTCAGCACTATTTAAAATAATCTTCAAATTCTCCCACTAACATTCTTTAAAAACTGCAACACATTGTAGTTGCATTAACAGCTTGACTGGTAGACTGTCATTGAACAAGTGTGATTTAAAATCACGGACAAAATTTATTTGAAATTTACTGTCGAAGTAATCTCTGTCTAGCAGCATACAATCTCACCAGCTTTAGCTATCCAGAAAGTTCTGTTTTATATCTAGAACCTCTTCATCTGAGAAAATGAAGACTGTCTGGAATGACAAGCCTAAATTGAGGATTTAAGTTTTGCCAAACTTTTATCAGAATCTGCCAGAGAACAGAAAACACACAATAGCACTGTCTACCAGTGTGGAGAAGTTCATTAATACTTCCGATCACAAAAGCGCTTAAAAATAAATAGTACTATAACTTACAGGTTACTGATAAACAACAGTCTACAACACAGGCACCTGTAAGAGTTGAGCAACTTGATGTTTTTTCTTCTGTTTCACCACAAACCCAGCTGCTGAGAGACAGTAAAGCCTGCTGGAGGCAGGCTGCGATCCCACTTAACTTGAAGGCACCTGAAGCGCAGGTGTCCACATGGCTGACCCGGAGTCAAGAGAAACCAAGGAGCAATTCAGCTCATCACTCGTATGCGCTGCCCTCAGGGTGATCCGAATTGCCCTTCAGACACTTTCCTAGGACGTGCAGGATGGTCATGCAAACAGAATACAGGGTGACCACCATCATTCTCACATGACAATTGAACCTAGGGAACGACAAACAATGCCAGACACCCACTTCCGGGCACTTCCATTGAGCTTTAAACTCACTAAACTCCACTCATTAAAATGGGTAGTTCAAAACAAGACAATAATGCAGGACAGTTACCTGCAGACATCTAAATTTAGCTGACCAAGCACGAAGCTGATTCCTACCAGCAGTGCTGTTTAACTGCATACTCATTCATCAGTAAATATTCACATATAATCATAGTTTGAGTAATATTATTGTTACTCAAACATTACGGAAGTAATCTAAGAGCAAATTATTAAAAGATCAAAAGACAGACAAGTGATGGAGGAAGTTGACCAAGCCAAAAACTGCCACTGGGATAATAAAAGGATATCTGGATAGCTAAGTATTTAACAAGACACAGTAAATTCACCCTTATTAATTATTCCTTAATTGTTTGATTCCAGTATCTTTATATGGGTCCATACATAATATTACCTGACAAAAATATACGAGGATGAAAGACAGATTTTTCCATGTAAAACAAAATGGAGAGGGGAGAAGAGGGAGAGGGGATTTTATCAACATGTATAAATATCTGAGGGAGAATGTAAATAGGATGGGGCCAAACTCTTCTCGGTGATGGCCAGCGACAGGCCCCCACACAAGGGATAATGGATAAAAAATGAAACACAGGAAGTTCCATCTCCATGTGAGGAAGAACTTCTTTCCTGTGAGGGTGACAGAGCACGTGACAGGCTGCCCAGAGAGGCTGTGGAGTCTCCTTCTCTGGAGATCTTCCAAACCTGCCTGGATGCCACCCTGTGCCACGTGCTCTGGGTGTCCCTGCTGGAGCAGGGGGTTGGCCTAGATGATCTCTAGAGATCCCTTCCAACCTCAACCATTCTGGGATTCTGTACACATTAAAGCCAAAACATTTATAAGGCAGGGAAAAAAAGGTTATGCTTTCACAAAATATCTGGAAAAGTCATTTTGAAGCTGCATTTAAAGCACGAAAAGAACTCTATTTAAAAGACGAAAAACCTTGCAGGACTATTAATGCCACAAAAGATCTAGGGGGAACAGAAAAAGGACTGATCAGAAAGAAACAAACAAAAAGAAACAAGTTA